GAATATATTATAACTCTAATATTTTGATCTAAATATAATAGCAAATAAATTTGGAAACAAAAATATTAAATTGTAAATTTATAAAATAGTTGTTATATATTTTATACAAAATGTGAGTTAGTTATGTTAAAAAATATATTTTTTCTGGCTTTCGATGCTTTTGTCTGTTGTAATTCAGCCAGCCGACGGCAATTGCAGTTAGGTAGCTCACCTGTGCTATCGCCTCACCTGGCCCACCTGCCCAACCTGCCGCAGCTGCCCTAATACCTGTCATGTTTTTTGGGCACCTGTGGCCGCTGCTCCTGCTGCTGCTGTTGCTATGGCATTAAGTGCATTCATTAAAGCAACGATCGACCACGCCCACCGGCTACCAGCCCACCACTTTGCCCACTTTTGCTCTCGCATTTCACGCGCTCAACCAATTGGAAAATTTACACGTGCAAAATGATGAAAAATTGCTGCGGTTTTCTTTTGATTTTTTTCCATTGTCGTCATTCGAAATTGTTTGGCATCAAATTGGAAAAACCCAAAAAAGAAATGGAAAAGCAGACAAAAAAAATAAATAATAATAATAAAATGGCAAAATGTTTTTTCCTGCAACATTTTCATTTAAAGTTTAAAGCGAAAAAAGGCGGTATATATATAAATATATATGTAAAGAGATATGGATATATATATATGTATATTTACTTTTTGTTTTTATTTTATATATTTAAAAAAATATATTTTTTCTGTTTTGCTCGTTTTGTGTGTTATTTAAATGTGAACATTGTTGTCGTTTTGTCATTTGGCTGTTGTTGTTGCTGTTCTTGTTGTTGTTGTTGCTTTGTAATATTTTTAATTTTGCGCAGGCAGCGACATAAATCATTTTGTCGCGCATTGCAAAAATTCCAAAAGAGCAAGGCGAAAAAATTACAAAAATTTTTAAATTAGCTCGCAACACACACACAGACGCACACACAGAGACAGAGAGAGAGAGTGTGTGTGTGTGTGGTGTATGAAATGAAAATGGGGGGCAACTGGGTGGCCCAACTTGGGGGCTGGAATTAAATTTTCATATGAAAAACTCAGCAGCGCCAGCAACAATGTGAGAGTGGGCGAGTGGGCTGGGCAGGGGGGTGTTGGGGGATACGTTGGGGAAACAAAGCCAAATAGTAGAAAATTGGAAAGATGAAGTTGATTGTGATAGCAACAAAGTGCCTTTTGGGGCGCGGGGGCGTGGCCAGCAATAGGGGTACGCCGCGGAGGGGGGCAAAGAAAAAAAAGCAATTTTCAATTTTTCTACACAAAAATGCGAGCGACGAAGCAAACGCTGCTAAAAACTTTGACGACAGACAGCAAAAGGCAGAGTGGGCGGGGCTGCTGGGCAGAGGGGGAGGGGGGGGGGG